AGGGTGGACCTGGGGAGGCCGTCGAGTAGTTCTAGGTGTTTCTCCGCTGCCTCTGACTTCGGTAGGCCTCTGAAGTCCGGGCCTGCTCGGACCGCTCCGTTGTTCTTGGCGAACAGGGAGGGTCGGACTGTTTTCCCTACTAGGGCTGCGGTGCGTTGCAGTNGGGTGGGGGGAACCCTGGGGGGGAGTTTCTTGTCGATGCGTCTGCTGATCGGGTGGTTTCTGTCCAGACCCGCGAAGCGAGCCGCTGTGCGGAGTCTTGTCTGTGCCACCCATACTGACGCCGGGGGGACTCCCGATTCTCTGTGTATGACGGAGAGGTTGGTCGTCTTCCACACGGGGACAACTGCTCTGGCTGCTGTTTTGAATGGGGGTTCCAGGATCGCGGTCAGTCCCGTCGAGCCTGTTCCCACTTGTCTGTTTGGGTTCGTCGCGCTCTGTCTGCTCTCGCCGGGCCAAAAAGCCTCCGTCCCGTATAGGGCTACAGGGGCGACGCAGGCCTTGGCTGCCATGGCCACCGCGTCTGGCGGGGATCCTTTTTGTGTCTTGTTCAGAGATCTTAGGAAATTGGCCGCTTTGAGGGCTTTTCCCTTNATGATCCCGAGGTGTTTTTTGAAGGAGAGCCGCGAGTCCAGGTGTATCCCTAACCACCGGACCGAGTCCTGGGGGGCTATGATCTTTCCTCTGAAGTCCACTCCCTCGTCGTGTGCTTGGGTTCTGGTCCTGTAGAAGTGTATGAGTTCGGCCTTGTCCGGGTCGAAGGAGACCGCGTTCCTGTCACCCCAGTTTAGGGTGTCTTCCAATTCCCACTGGAGCTTCTGGGCGGTTTCTTTGGTGTCGGCCCCCACTGCCATNATGCCAATGTCGTCCGCGTACCCGAAGCGGGTGTTGGGGTCATTGAGCTTCAGGCTGGGGGAAAAATAGAGCATGGAGACGATGGGGGAGATGGGGGACCCCTGTGGGGCTCCGCATTCCAGCTCCGTCTCCGGGAGGGTGGTCCCGTATCCGTTTCGAACAAGAGCCTTGCGGTCGCTCATGAAGGAGTCGACCCATTTCACAAAGAGGGGGGGCCAACCTTGTTCCCTGAGTCTGTACACCAGGCGGTTGCGCATGACGATGTCGAACGCGCCGGAGATATCGAGTGTAAGGAGGGAGATGACGAGACCCTGGGCCAGGGCGACTTCGGCGTCGTGTAGCAAGCAGGCGACCAGGTCTGTCGCGGACCTTTTTGGGAGAGCCCCGAAATATTGTTCTGGCAGTATTTTGTGTTCCATCGCTAGGAGGGAGACTCTTCTAGCTAGGAGTCTCTCGAGGCCTTTGCCTATACAGGAGAGCAGGGAGATGGGTCTATAGCCTTTGTGCGTAGTGTACGCCTTCTCCGGCTTCCCAGGTTTGGGGATGATGGTGATCTCCGCGCTCCGGAAGGGGAGTGGGTGGTGTCCTATCATCAGGCATCCGCGGAAAAGGTTGGTTACGTACTCGCCGATGGCAGGCCAGGCGAGCTGTAGAAGGGCGACTGATATGCCGTCTGCGCCGGGCGCGGTGTTTCCTGACCCCGTTGTGGCTTTCTTGGCCTCCGGCTCCGACACTGTTTGGTCCCAGTGGATGTTCTTGTTGACGGGAAAGTCCTCTTCCCATGGGTCTGAGATGTCCTCCTCTGTTGTCTTTCGCTTGAGAAGTTTGTCTCTGAGGAAAGTCGCTCTCTCCGTGGGGTCTGAGATGCTTTTGTCCCCGTCTATCAGGGGGGGCGGTTGAAAGCGGTCCGTCGCCTTGCGCCACTTGGCCACTGACCAAATGTTCCTAGTGGCGCTGGCTTCCGCTATGATCTCGTCCCAGTGGGCTCGCTTGCTGCGGCGTATGGAGTCTCTGAGGGTCTTACGGGCTCCCTCTTGGGCGGGGGAGCCGTCTGCCGCTTCTTTGTAGGCCTTGTGGGCTGCTTTGCACTTTTCCGACCACCATGGTGCACTGTGGCCGTTCTGGTGTCTGGTCTTGCCGGCCCCCTCTATGGCTTGTTTGAAGAGGTCCTGCAGGGCCTTGGCGCATTCGTCAAGGTTGGTTTCTGACGGTGTGGTCAGGTCGACCGTGGGGAGGGTCCAAGCGAAGGAGCGCATGAGTTGGCCGAAGTCTTCCCAGCATTCCAACGGGACGTATTTTTTCCCTGCCCCCGGGGTTGTCCTGAGGGGCTCGGGCAGGTTCGTGATCACTGTGTAGTGGTCCGACCCTGTGTTGAGGGAGTGTTCGACCCTGGTTGACGCAGGGCAGTTTGTGAAGACCAGGTCGATGCACTTTCCCGAGTGTCGGGTGGGCGTGTCTATTAGAGCTGGGAGGAGATCGTGCTTCTCCGCCCATTCCGCGATTTTGTTGCCTGCCGGGTCCGCGCCCCTGCCCGGTTCCCAAAGTTGGTGTGAGGCGTTGAAGTCGCCTGCGATGATTGAGCGGGGGGGGGGAGGGCCCCATTTAGTGAGGGTCTCTGTGGCTGAGTCTGCCGAAGCCCTTCGGTAGACGTTGACGATGGTGTAACCGCATACCTCTATCCA